CGAAAGCAGAAATGGACTCAACACTGGATTGTGATGAGCCCATACCAAAGAAATTCATCCGTTTCGTTGCATGCATTTCGAACTATCATTGTCACTCTGTCGTACGTCTTTGGCAAGCTTAATATTAATATATTTTTATAGAACCAAGTTCTTTCATATGTTCCACGAGACTGTCTGCCTTAGTACTCTATCAAAATAAATCTCTGAGTCTAGGAACGTGTGTGTGTATGTGTGTGTGGGCGTGGTTAGTTTATATTTCGAAGACTGATCTGCCTCGATACAATTACCGTATCGATGGTATAAAAGTCTCAATAGATCGAAATATTTTTTGTATCAAAACTTGTGTCGAGGTGCGCATGACTAGTACGGTTGTCGATCCCCACAAATGTCAATTTGTTATGATACCTTACAATAAACTCGGAATCCTCTCCATCAAACTCAAAATTAATTCAAAATCAGTATTTTCTTTTCGTTTCTTTTACGAAAAAAATGATTCATTTGCTCCTTTCCGTTACCTTCAGACAAAGCCATATGGCACATGGCAAGGACCAGACTAAAATCCATATGAGGGGGGTTTAGTGAGCAACTGCTGCCGTCTACCATTGAATCCAGGCTACGGAGCAAATTCGACCGGCCGAGGACCCCGATCAATGGAAATCCTCGTCTATGAAATGCCCATTGTTCAAAAAATTGATTTTATATTAACAATTTTTTATAACTCTATTCTTTTCAAAACGTAACAGGGATATGGACAAATTTTCATTGCGGCCCTTTAAAAAGGGAGTCGATGCAACACTGATTTAGCCACTCGATTTAGCTGAATGAAAAATCTTCTAAGTTTCGATCTGCATCTCACTGACTTTTTCCATGAAAGAGCAAATGTATAAACATTTTTCTGAAAATAAGTTGTATGTATTAAACAACGCATTACCATGAATACATTGATGACTTGTTGGAGACTAACGTTGACGGCCAGATAGCTTAGGGCACAGAAGACGGCGACGGCTATCCAGCAGAGCAAGAGCGCGATCAACGAGGCGTACGGAATTCTGCCAAGGCAGTCACCGCCGGACAGCGTCATGATTGTCGTCTGTCCGTGCCGACCCCTTCAAACGCTGTCGTCGTCGTTAATCAACCAGGCCACACAAAAAATGCTGCAAATTGGTCTTTTCGTCGCAGCAAATAGCATCAGCCACTCAAAACAGGTCCCTAAAATCTAATTTGCACATTCGTTAACTTTTGCCACCAAGAACGGTACAAAATGATCGCGTTTTCCAGAAGGAAACTAAAGAAGTTCAAAGGCATCTTCAATAAAAGAAACGTTTTAAATGAATCATCAAATTTAAAAACCGAAGGCAATCGATGTGACGACGGTCTAGACATAAATAATTTCAAAAACAACGCGAAATTATCTGTTTACAATTTCATATTTGACCTTCACGGCACTAATCGATCATCATTATGTTACTGTATAAATCCGTAGGAACATTATTTGTAAAGCTTGAACATTCGTTTTAATGGCGATAAATGCATTTTGGAAAGGAAGGCACTGTTTGGTGACCATTGCTGAAACTATTGCATTAGTTCTTTGTGCGGTAAATGACAAAAATGTCGCAGACAAAATAATAAAGCCTGAACGTTTTGTTCAAAAAAAACTTAGAATCTCCGACTAACCACATGATCCCATTAATAAGCGTCAAAACGACTTGGATAAAATTGACGTCATGTAAATTTTTAGTCACTCTGAAGAAATTTGAAACGTCAGTGCTCGTTGTATGATGTTTTTAATCAAAAATTTTATACACTGTTATCCCGTCTGTGATCCACTCAAACACAATTGGTCAGTATTGTATGAATCCATTGCCTAAAACCAAAACCAGTGAAAAAAGTTGCCTAAAAATTGTTTTATTCATGCAATTCTTCCTTCGTCACGCTCTACTCATTTCTCCGTCTTTGACACGAGAGGAAACCGATTGTGGTTCAACCGATTAGCAGTCCGCTTAAACATCTTAAAGTTACTTTTGTCAAACTTCAAGCATCGCGTAAACATTTTCTATTTCAATAACATCTCATTTGCGCATTAATTTCCTGTTGACTATAACACTCGGCAGGTTTACCATGTAATTAAGTCGCTCTTATAATTCTTGTCGTCTTTCATTATCTAAAACATAAACATCAGATTCAAAGCTTGAAGTGGTCACAGTATTTCCCTCTTTAGTTGTTGTAACCGCTCTATAAATAGGCAGATCTTTTAGCGTATGTTATATAACGGTTTACTTTTAACCTTACAACGTTCTACATGCAAACGTCACGTGTTGTCGTTCATAATGCCATCACCTAGAGCCATTAAGATAAACAGAATGACATCGCTTTCTTAGGTTCGCAACATCCGAAGTTTTTCAACACTTTTCGTATAATGTCATAGTTATTGAATCGCAAAAAGAAATTCCATCCTGCAAGTAGATCTGTCTCTATCACTATGCTAGCCAACTAGTTGAGGTGATGAAGGAAGCTCAAAGTCTCCACTGAATTTTGCATGCCCGACCAGTTTGTCGAACACAGCCAACGTCTTTTTCTTAATCTAGTCATCTGCGAAGTTCACTTGTAAGAGGAATAGAATAGAATCATTCTTTACTTGGTCATGCGTCGAGGAAAAATCTAGTGTATTTACTTAAACGGTCGTTCTTGCTCCTTTGTCAGTGCAACAACACTGCCAGAAAAGGAGGAAAAAGACACGAGGATTGCTGGAAGAGTAATTCCTTCCACAGCTCAGAGATTGGACAGGTTTCCAGAAACACTCAAGACTAGAGCAGTCTTCCTGTTTAACTCTGGCTGGATAGTACTACTGCTGCAGAAAATGAATCGAGATACTTAAGTTGGTCAACCTCAGTCAACGATTAAACTCCTTGCTTCATTTGCAGATCAGCGTTGCCCGATGAGTTCCTCACAACTTTCGACTTTCCGTGATTGCGGAACAGGGTTGCTGTGTCAGCCATTTTGCGTAGGAAAATGGTGAAACAATCCGCTTCCCGCACTACTTACCGGAACTACTTCATTTTTCTTCAGGTCAGTAGGATATCTAGTCGGTTATCTTGAATTACGTTTTTCCTCTAGAATGAGATCTTTATCTTTGCCAGGGGTAAGCATTACTTTAGAAAAGAAAGCCGATTACAGTACTGAATAGCAAAAGCGAACGCACATATCGTTCACGGACTCCACTGTTCTTAGGGAACCATTGAAATAGTTCTTCTTCAACTTTGATGGCAGCTATGATTCCAATATACATCTTTTACAAAACAACAATGATGTACTCAGATATGCCATGACATTTCAAGAATTTCCTCATTACTGGGCAATGCAGTAAATGAAATGCTGTCAAAAGGTAAATGAAAATGACAAATGACGAACCAAAGCAACTCAATCTTCGGCGTTGCTCCGTGATTCTACGTAGACTGAAAATTTGACCGCGAAAACAGTGTCCCATTCGTAAGCCTCCTTTGTTTTAAATAATTTTCCAGTGAATGACCTGCGCCAGCTATTTCAGAATAATCCAGGAGAAATGTTTATCGAATTGTCAGTCGTGTTATGTCTCGATTTTTTGAACACGCAACCACCCGACTTCCTTTAAATATAAAGAAACCTGCATCAAACTACTATTCTCCTGGGAAACGCTTGATGACGTAAGGCATTGAACTTTTCTATAATTTCCCTTGTCTCATACTCAATTAACTCCGGACAGATTAAATGCACCCCGCAGGTCTTCTTCACTTTTGGGGTGTAGCAAAATTTTTTCAATTTCTAGTTTTATGGGTTGATCCATGCTATCCTCTAATGTTGGAGGCAGAATTAATGGTCGAAAACGATCAGTCAAATGCGACGATCATATGCCTTGAAAAAAGGCAACCCGAGTTCTCTGCTAACAGAACAATTGTCTAATCCCTTTGACCACTTTCGCCACTTGCCGTTTGTGGCTGCTTTGCCAATCTTCCTCACTTCCCCTCTAACCTGTGTTCCTAGTCCCAAACGTTATTTCGATTGATGCACGACGACGATGCGTTACTTGCGAGGGTGTTACAAATACTCCTTCTTTTGCTGGCCCATTTGCAGTCTAACGTCTGTGGAATCCTATGTAATCAAGGACGGTTTTGTCATTCTGTTTCGGTACTAAATTAGCCGCCATCCTAGTATCCACCGAAGATAATGAGTTCTATACGTTTCTCTGATGACTTTCGCCACCTGATCATCAGATGTTACTCAATCGTTTTTAGCGGAAGGTTCAAGCGATAAGGTGATGATGAGTTGACAGCTCTTTTCTTCTCTTAACGCAAGCAACCATTGCACAGCATCGCAAAGAAGACGATAAAATTATCAAATCGATCATTATTATTATCTTATTATCATAACCTCTGTGCACAAGCTACCTTACATCAAGTATACTGTTGCACGTTGGGCATATAGACTTTTAACATGGTCATAGTTGTGGATTGTTGCCATTTTTATTCTGACAGGCTTGCATGCAATGATTCCGTCAGGAAGGTTGGGTTCTGCAAGAACACTAACATTCGCCTTAACCCTTGCGATTATGTCGACACTGGAGTAAAATGGCTTGCAATCGCGAAGGTTCTGAATTCCAAAGACCTGGAACTTAGTTGACGATAGTGCAACTATGCCCTGTCGGTACCTCATGGTCTCATCGATTAGAACACGCCCTGAGTGAAGAAATGTTCAAATCCCAATCTGTGAGCTCTCACTGTCAGTATCATTCCGGTGGAGTCTTATCTTAGGTGTTATGATGTCATCGCGTCACCTGCCTCTTCCATTCAGGACTGATAACGGTTAGCGGCTTCGTTGCTGACTGATATCTTCGTTGTCTTGTTGTGGGTCTTCATGTCGATCTTCAGAAGTTGTGACTGTGTTGCTGCGACCCTATTTACCAGAAAGTTAGAAGCACTTCTGATCGATGAATTTTCGCAGGCTGCCTCAAGTCACCAACGGCGTGCGTTCAAATGTTGCCGAGGCGTTGAACGTTCTATGACGGTAATAAGAAGCGATGCATAGTTGTAATTTCAGGGAGATATAGCTGCAGTTTCCAATCCTAATTCTTTGTCATCCGGGCTTTGCACCAGCAACGCCAGCGTCAGGCTTTACTCTTTGCTGTGAAAACTACTCGGCTTTCGCTGACGGTCGCAGAGTAGATGAGTCTGAACTAAAGACGCGATGATAAAATTTGTTTCATTAGTTTGCTTTTAGAACCTCATTAAATTGATTCAATCAATTTAGCTTTCAGTCTCGAAGCAGAGCAACGTTGAATCTGAAACCTAATTGTGTGACTCTTGCCAACAAACAGAATGTGCATCTTGCGCATGACTGCATTGTGAGCTGTAGACAGTGGTTGCAGCAGACAAAAACGATACTGAGAACCATGATTAATCCCTTTAAAAAGTTTACTGATGTTTCATAGACTTCTGATGCTGTAACGCTCTGAGCGTAGTGGCAATCCTCTCCGGTCCTACTATTGTTGATCGCAAAATAATCCATATATGTTTTGTGCAAAGGTTGTCGCATTGACAGTGTATATGACGTAAAAAGTCCGCACTCTGTATGACCAGCGAGGTTTTCTCAGCTTATTGTAATCAGAGTAACATTGCTGGAAACATCGTAACAAACTTCTTCAGATAAGAAGATTTCGTGTTCGTTGATATTAACATATCTTGGCATAATCTGACGTGTATTATTCATAAAGTAATCATCGAGATGCTGCCTATGGAACTGAAATCAAGAAGATCTTTTGAACCCTAAAAATTAAGGACACCTGCACAAACGGTCAGTTACAAACTATAATTGCGATTCCGTCAATTACGCTGCATATGTTTTCTTACTAATATGAATTATATCATATGCCACATAACGCTTTGTTCTTAATAGAACCTCTAACTTTAAGCCGAGAGCGATGTGACGCTGTTCGTTTTTCTCCTTACAGTTTGTTTTGTGCGTTTCAGCTGAAACAGTTAAATTTTTATTCATTAATTTGGGCATTTTGGTCTTACTGGCCCTGCTGAAAAGCAAAATTCTTATACTAACTCATCCAAATAGTCAATCTCGAACTTTGAACATTTGCTCTTAATTTAGGATTTTTTTGGAGGTTCTGCGAAACGTGTGTAGGTCAAAGTTTTATGGGTAACTCGTAAAAATTTTTCTTAGATTCAGCCATATACTCCCT